GCCCAGTCGTGGGATGAATCCCACCAGGTTTCCGTTAGCCCCACTAAGTCATAGGTGTTTAGTGCAAGCAGGAGCGCTAGTTCATCCTGCTTGTTTCCCATGCTCCTAGCATTAGTATATAGGCACTTGAGCCCTGCGACTGGTGCCTTTGCTGCCCCCCCCGCTCCGAGTCCCAAGGGGCCCTTTGTTTCTTACCTTCTCGTTTCTTACCTGTGCCGCAGTGCTGGCCGCCCCATGGCTTGCAGGGTCCCAATGCTCTCTTTCTTCAGGCTGGGCTGTCCTAGTGGGTGCCACATGGTTTGGTGGTCCACAGCTTCCCCCGCCCTCATCTTCCCCCCTGCCCACTTCCCCCCCGGATCATCAAGTCTGGCCCCCTGCCCTGGGCAGGAAAAAGCATGGGGGTCAGATGACCCAGCCAGGTGTTTGTCCAGTCTCCCCTGTGGCAGGGCACTGTGGGTGCTACCACTTTAAGACCAGGGCCAAGCAGCCAGCAGATGCTTGCTTGCCAGGGCCATTTTAGATCCCTGGCTGCCTATATAAAGGGATCAGGTCCCTGCTGGCAGCCGGGCAGCAACATCATGCGGCTGGGAGGCTTTATAGACCACCGTGGAGGACAGGGAGGAGCTGTAGGGGATGGCTAGGAGGCTCCTGGTCCTGGGCATGACATAAAACTGCACCCTGCCAGGAGTGGGTGACCTGGTGGGGCTCTCAGTGGTGCGGGAGCCCCCAGGAAATGCCAGGCCAGTGATCATCCCAGTGAACGGCGGGTCAGGGCACCTTAACCCCAGGTCCCACAACTGGGTGGGTCACCCACTAGTAGGGCAGACCCCAGAGAGAGAGTGGGGTTAGAGGCTCAGAGGCCTGACTGAGAGTACCCTTGACTGGTCAATGCTGGGGCCAGGACCAAACTGGTCAAAAGGGCCAGGGGCCCACCACGAGGGACGTCCAGAGCTGAGGGCCTGGGGTTTCTGACTGGCCTTGGAGGTGAGGCCAGGGCCTGTATGGCCAAAGGTCCCAGGGGGACCATGCCGGAGAGGGGAACATAGTTTCAGGGAGCTAGATAGCCTGGATGAAGGTGGAGAAGGCCACAGGAACGGAGGGATCTTGGAGGGGTCCTGATCAGAGAAGTCTGGGGCCAGTGACTGTAAGAACTATGGATGTCATCTGCAAGGCATGGGCTGCGGTGTTGGGGAGGTACAGAGCCGCAGATAGCGCCCCCTGGCATCGGGGCATGAAATGGGCACCCTCCTGCTTAATTAAGATCATTCATTAATTAACAACAAGGCATGGCAGGAGGGAAGGTGAGCAGTTGCCCCAGAACAGGTGGGCAGGCCAAAGGTAAAAATCGGCCCCAAGAAAGCCCCTGTTACAGACCCCCAAGGTAGGGGAGAGCACCACCTCCCGTGGAAGCCCATTTGAGATTTTGGCAACCGTCACCGTAAAGAATTTCTTCCTTTCTAACCTGAATCTGCTCTCCGCCAGTTTGTGGCCCTTATTTCTAGTTACTCCAAGGGGTGCCCTGGTAAACAGAACATCTCCTATCCCTTGCTGTCCCCTTGATGAATTTACAGGCAGCCACAAGATCACCTCTCAGTCTTCTCTTGTGGAGCCTGAAAAGATTCAGGTCCCTCAGTCTCTCCTTGTAGGGCTTTACCGGCAG